ATCATCATAATCATAATAATAATTAAAAAGATAAAGTTAGAGGCACAAGAATCAGTCCTCCACAATGGAAAGTGACAACGTCTTCCGCTCCAAGACAAATAAGTCCCGAGATAAGTCAGTGGGCCCCAAAAAGGCCTCTAAGGCAGCAAATAAGGATACCCATTGACGGCACCAAGCCTTGGAAAGGCAGTTGCAGAGACGGGCCCGGGAGGCGGACAAGATAGCTATGACACAGCAATCGGATCAGGGCCCAAGTACATTGTTGGGCCGTTGGACTTATCCACCCAGCCCAGACAGGCTATTTCTGGACAGCCTCCCATAGGCATATCTCCTCCAATGAGCACTGCCTGGCGGATCCCAGAGGCAACCTTCACCCCTACAGCCACTGGTTTAAGACAGGAGGAGGGATTACCTGAGACTATTCCCATCGAAATGAGGCAATGGATGGAGATGGCCATACAAAAGGGCATTGCGGCTGGAGTTCAGCAATCCATCCGGACCAGACACTTTTCGGCTAGTTCAGAAGCGGGATCCCTGTCTGCTCAATCCTTTGCGCATATGAGACATCATCAAACTCAGGTGTTCCTGAATATTCCTGACATACCAGTCCAGGGTCTTTGGAATTTGATGACCAGGATGTTCCCATGGTGGTGGGGTCGATCCATCAGATGGACTTGGAGTTGTCAGAGGCTGACCCACTGGAACGAGGAATGTCAGATGACGAAGGCCTCATTCCGGACCAACCTACCTTTTCTGGCCTTTTTCATCCGCACCTCTTTAAATCTTTACTGTTCAAAGCAAAGAACACCGCTAAACTAAGCACATCAAGCCCTCATCCATTGTCAACAGGGTCTCATGACGAATCCGAGGATCTAATAGTCTCATAACCGGCTCATGAGGCAGAAACTATTCCTGTCCCTCGTATGTTTGCTGAATTAGTACAAAATCAATGGGCATCAGCAGCATCCTACCCAGCCCCAACAGGGTACGATAAACGATATTATAATTTGGCACCAGAGTTTTCAATTATCTTGGCCATGCCTTCTTCAATGCCACCTTTTTGAGTTTGTTCCACCACTAGCTTCTTTTCTGTATCCATTTTTTCACCTGGATCTGAAATTAATTTATGCCTAATCATAAAATCCTTGGCTTTTTCTATAGAGTTCAGCCTAAATCTTTGCTCTTGGTAAATATCACTCTTTCTAGTTGGAGAGATCATAATATATTTTTGTACTTAAATACACTATAGATACATATTTAGTAAACTCTCATTTAGTTAGTGCTATTTACCTGGGGGTCTACATGGATGCCTCCATGTGGTATTTTCAGAAGAAAATACAAATGGTTTGCCCTTATTTTCTTCAGAACTATTTTGTCAATTCTCCATTCTATTGTAAAATCTCAGAGTTTCCTGGTAATCTCCCATATTGCATAAATATTTATTAACCAGGTCTATCTCTGTTTCATTTCTAAGTCCAAACAAAGCCATTCAATGCTGCTGCCTCAAACTTATTATGAATATAGGGTATAATTTAAAATGTGGAAAAATGATCAGAATCCTCTATCTACATTGTGTGCAATTTTAATACTTTATCAAATGTCTCGAATTCAGTTCACTTTGTTTATTGTAAGGTTCAACATTGTCTAATTCTATCTTCAGTTTCTT